GTCTTTACCATATGGTATGAGTTGGTATTATTGTTATTTGTACCTTCTACAACGTGGTATGTGTTGGTAGAATTGTTTTTACTCACGTTTTTTTTGTGTGTGTGTGTGTTTTTGTAGCTTTGTTTGTTGGTTTCAACCATCATCACCAACTCACTGTCTTTGCGACTGCTCTTCTATATGATGAAACAACAACAACATTTGAATGACTTTTTGATCAGTTTTTGAAATGCATGGGAGGTGTGAGACCAACATCAATGTTTACTGATCAGGCTGCTGCAAATGCTGCTGGTATAAGGTCTGTTTTCCCAGATTGTTTCCATGGGCTATGTACATGGCATATTGCTCAGAATGCAGTTGTTAATCTGGGAAGTTTGTGTGACTCTTATTTCCTACATTGGCTTAGTTATTTGATGTATAATGCTGATGATGATGATGGTTTTGAGTATAATTAAGAAGAAGATGATTGAGAAGTGTTTTCCTGGGAAGGGACCTTTAGGACACAGTTGGTTACAGGGCATTTACAAAGTCAGGAAGAAGTGGTCTTCAGCTTGGGTGAATTGTTATTTTGGTGCAGGAATGAAGAGTACCCAGCTAAGTGAGTGCTGCAATAGTAATATTCGACATTACTTGCAGTCAGAGCTTAGTGTTAGTAGATTCTTTGTGCACTTTGAGAGGATGCTTGATAATAAGAGGGATGCTGAAGAACAAGAAGAGTACTATGCCTTATCTAGGTTGGCTGATTCTTGGTTTTCTACTAGTCCTATTGTGAAGCAAGTTGCTAATGTGTATACGCCGAAGATATTCAAGTTTTTCCTGGATCACTACAAGGAATCTCTTGCGTATAATATTTTTTTCAAATACGGAGATAGAACCAGAAGGACATGTAGGAATGTTTGATGTCATCATATTGGAGGATGAACTTACAAGGTTAGATAGTATGGTGTTGAAGGTTGATTTTGATAATGGTGAAATCAAGTGTTCCTGCCGTAAGTGGGAGTCAAGTGGTTTGATCTGTAAGCATCAAATGAAGGGATATGATATGTTGTGGTCTACAACATGCAATTTGAAGTTCCAGCACATTCCTAGTAGTTTGATTTTGAAACGGTGGACAAGAGTAGCAAAAACTGGAGGGAAATTTTGTTTTGAAGTTCCGTCTACTGATAGTCCAGCAAAGTACCGGTCTCGTCTGTTCAATTTGTCAGCTGTTTCTGCATCAATGATCAACAGGGTTTCATTGGATGATGATTTGTATAAATCAGTCATGGCCTTCATGACTGATTTGATCAAAAAGTGTGAAGTCCCACCGATTATTGAACCTGCTGGAACAAGCACATCTTCTAACTGTGACAGTAAGTTTTTTTTTTTTAGAGTTTTGTGTTTTGATATATGCAATGTTTGAGGAGGAGGATTTTTTTTATATATGTCTGTCGTTGATTGTAGTTTGTTTTTGTTATCTTGGAATAGATGATTTACCGGTCCGAAAAATGAAGGGGTTTAAGCCTAAAAAGATTCATTCAAGCCTTCAAAACGACCAATTCTAGTTGCGGAGGCTGCAAGGGCTGTAAGTAAGAAGAAGAGAAAAACTAGCAGGCTTGAGGAGGAGAATTTGAAGACTGTTGAAGAAAGTTTGAGGCTGAAGCTGTGATAGTTGTTTAATTTGTTCAATCACAGTTTTCGTAGAGGATTATGTGAATGAATGGTTGAAGCTGGTTGGGTTGTAGAACCTATTTTGTTCTTTCGGATTTGTTTTGGTTTTGTTGGATATTATTCTTGTCTTGTTGAATTTATTTTACCATGTCATACCATGTGGTAAAATGTGGTCATTTTCAAGTGGCATGTGGGGTTTGTGTTTGGTAATTGATTTTTACAATGTGGTAAAATGTGCTAATTTGGAAGTGGCATGTGTGGTCGTGTGTGGTAATTGATTTTACAATGCCATACCATATGGTAAAATGTGGTAATTTGGAAGTTAAAGGTGGGGTTATGTGTGATAATTGATTTTACCATGTCATACCATGTGGTAAAATGTGGTAATTTGATGTTACCCTCTATAGCTTGTAGTATAGTGTAGTTTTTTGGGATTTTGTTGCTGCTGTAAGTGATTTTACCATGTTATACCATGTGGTATAGTATAGTAATTTGATTTTACCATGCCATACCATATGGTATAGTGTGGGAGTTATTGACACATGTAAAATATTATTATATTTTCTTTGAGTAGAATGCTAAGTATTGGCTAACATAATCATAATAGAATTTTCATGTACTTTCTTTCAAATCTTCCTCTTTTTCTTCATATTGCAGTACATTGTTGCAGCTTTCATGATCCTGTTCCATTCAAGATTGTCTTCATCAAGAATGATGTCCAACATCAAACACTCTCTTTCTTCATTTATCAGATCAATCCTCTTCCAATCTTTGCTCACGACACTGTTGTACTTACCTAGTTACCTTGCCAGTGTCTCATCCACCCGAGGATGTACATGCCACATGACTTGGAGTCTGGTTGTGTAACCTTTTCGAGGTTGAACCAGGTAAACCTCTCCCACTTTACTGTCTTGTGTGCAAACTGTGTCTTCATGTAGTTGATTGCGTACTGGACAACCCTCTCTGCCATTGGTTTGTAGTTTTCTTCAAAACTTTTGTTACGGAGGCTGTCGAGCATGTCAAACCTTTCTCCTTTGATGTTCACACAAATCATGATGTAGTGCTTGTTATCATAGTAAGGGAAGAACCATTGCAAAAGAATTTTACCATAATATACCATATGGTAAGCACTTGCCACATGTTATGATATAAAATTGTGTTGAGATACTTACAAGGTTACATTCTGTGAAGCTGAGGTCTTTTGCCCATTCTTTGTTGGTGATGTCCAAGTCCACTTTGTTGTAGTAATCATCTGGAGTAAGTGGAGGATTGTCGCTATCAATGTCCAGTTGGCAGTCACCCTGAAAGTCGTGGTTGTTATTTTGTGTTTTATATAAGTGTTTTCTAAGAACTATTGACAGAATATGGGTGGGTTTACTTACTGCCAAAGATCCAACGAAGAACCACCTTTTGAATTTTCCTTTTTTTGCTTCATTCTTGTTCATTCTATCTCCATACCAGTTGATGACATCAGATGTGATTTCACAGTCAATGTCAATCGACTGGAATGACTCCCTTTTCATTAAGAATGTTGCATCCTTCCTTCTAAACATTATCTCTTCACTGTATAAAAGCACATCACAACAGGACTTATGGTTTATTCTATTTTATAACATTAAACCATAGGTTACCACATCTTACTATATGGTATTAAACCAAAACAAAACAGGACTTGTAGATTTATCTAATCTTACCATATGGTAATAAACCAAAACACAACAGGAGTTGTGGTTTATTCCATTCTATAACATCAAACCAACATCAAACCACATCTTACCACTTCTTACCATATGGTAATAAACCAAAACACAACAGGACTTGTATATTTATCTAATCTTACCATATGGTAATAAACCAAAACACAACAGGAGTTATGGTTTATTCCATTCTATAACATCAAACCACATCTTACCACTTCTTACCATATGGTAATAAAGCAAAACACAATAGGAGTTATGGTTTACTCCATTCTATAACAACAAACCATAACTTACCACATCTTAACATATGGTATTAAACCAAAACAAAACAGGAGTTGTAAATTACTAAATTTTATAACATTAAACCATAGATTATCACATCTTATCATATGGTAATAAACTAAAACACGACATGGCTTATTGAATACTCCATTCTATAATATCAAACCATATCTTACCATATGGTAACAAACTAGATCACAAAAATATTTATGATTTCCTCATTTTTGTAACATCATATAACATTATAAGTTTAAAGGTGATGACTTACCAGTTGGCAACTTTCTTGTTTTTGCATCTTATGTACTCCAGGATGTTGCTAAACAGTTCATCACGTGTTGTTTCTACTGGTGTTGTCATACTTGAAATGGGTGAGCTTTGTGATTTTGCAGCAGGTGATAGAACCTGAGATTAGGGTTCTATCGGGAATTGGGGATTTAGGGATTAAGAACAGAATTAGGGATTTGAGAAGAGAAAGATAGAATCGGCCGAAGCCTTAGAGGACTAGAGAACGAGAAATTAGGAGATAGAGGATTAGGGTTTTGGAAGAGATCCTTTCTGAATAATTGTTCTTGCTTGCTTTCTAACGTAAACCCCCAAGTACATATTTATAGCTAAAGAATGGAAAACCCTAATAGACTATCCTAATATGACTCAAAGACTAGACTATCCTAATATTACTCAAAGACTACTAACCAAATCTAGATAATTTCGATTATTAATAATAATGATAATTATGATAGAGCCTAAAAATTAGGTTTCTATCATCCCCTCCCCCTTGAGAACAATCTTGCGCTTCCTCTTCTTCTAATTGGGATCAAGTACTTGAGCGAGACTTCTAGCACAAGTTGTTCCTCCTTCCACGTCGGTCCGACTCTTGAACGGTCGTACCCTTTCGTATAACCCAAGAGAGATCGGTCCCCGTCTTTCCTTCCTAGGATCACCAAATAATGCCACAACGATTGCCCTTCCTTTTACCCGCCGTCATTATTGTCATTGGTTTTCTAACTTGTGTGCTCCGCCGCTCTGACAAGCACATGTTCACTTCCTTCTTCCTTTGCTAGGCTCACAACTGCTAGGTGGGAAAAGCTGCAGCCAAAATCATTGGCATGTCCTTTTTGGTTCCATGCTATTCCAAGTGAGTTTGGGTTAAGCACCCTTGAAAGCCCACTTCCTGATCTAGTCAGCCCACCGCTCCCTTTCTTCAAGTCCATCTCATTTAAAATTAACTCAAGCAAACAGCCCACTTGAGCCCGGAGACTTCCATAAAAATTCGACCCACTCTTCAAGTCACTTATTGGCCCGGACGCAGGCTTCTGCTCGGCCCACGATACCTCAAGTCTCATCCCGCCCTGCATCTCCTTCCGACCAGAAATGATGCCCGCGAGGGCGATCCCGAAACCCAGACAGACTCGTTTAACTCCCTTTAGGCCCCCGACCCAAACGACCCGGTCCACTAGCGCAGCCTCTAGCATTTGCTGTGCAGAGCCCATTCCTGCGGCCGACCTAGGTCTTGCGAGTAGAGAGACAACGTCGCCCTCCTCCATTTCATTTGTCGGCAACTCCACCAGGCGGGGAGTCTGCCAGCGCGCCTCCGGTCTCTTCGTCGGCAATTCCTCCAATTTTCCGGTAGCGAGCCGCCCGCTTTCGACGTTGCAACCTCAGGTGATTCTTTCTCTCTTCCAGTCGACGTCGCCACTTGTTCCTGCACCTGAAGCTGGCAACATCATGATGGTCCAAATCGCCTTACCACTCTTTTGGAACGTCATCCTCCTCTTTAATCTCGCGATTCGAAGCTTCGGTGAATACTCCATTCTATAATATCAAACCATATCTTACCATATGGTAACAAACTAGATCACAACAGTATTTATGATTTCCTCATTTTTGTAACATCATATAACATTATAAGTTTAAAGGTGATGACTTACCAGTTGGCAACTTTCTTGTTTTTGCATCTTATGTACTCCAGGATGTTGCTAAACAGTTCATCAGGTGTTGTTTCTGCTGGTGTTGTCATACTTGAAATGTGTGAGCTTTGTGATTTTGCAGCAGGTGATAGAACCTGAGATTAGGGTTCTATCGGGAATTGGAGATTTAGGGATTAAGAACAGAATTAGGGATTTGAGAAGAGAAAGATAGAATTGGCCGAAGCCTTAGAGGACTAGAGAACGAGAAATTAGGAGATAGAGGATTAGGGTTTTGGAAGAGATCCTTTCTGAATAATTGTTCTTGCTTGCTTTCTAATGTAAACCCCCAAGTACATATTTATAGCTAAAGAATGGAAAACCCTAATAGACTATCCTAATATGACTCAAAGACTAGACAATCCTAATATTACTCAAAGACTACTAACCATATCTAAATAATTTCTAATATTAATAATAATGATAATTATGATAGAGCCTAAAAATTAGGTTTCTATCAGCAGGTGGTTGAACAGTTGGTGTATTCAGGTCCTCGGGGTAAGCATTTATACATTCACGTACTTCCTTGAGCTTCTCTTGGCTGTTTGTGTACAGATTTGACCATTCTATATATGACTCCTTTTGTGATTGTGTGCTTTATGGCTGTGTAGGTGGTGGTGTTGTTCTTGCCTTATTTTCGTTTCCATGCACATTCTTCACCACGATTCTTCTTTTGCGAGGCTCTTCTGGTTGATTGGTTGGCGTGGTGGTAGTCAACTTACTGTTGTTGTTGGTGTTTGATGGTTGAGAGGCCTGAGATCAAAGGACAGAATGTCGTCTTCCCTTGTCACTTTAGTATTCTTAGTATCCTTGGTTGGCAATTTAGGAGTCTCTTCTCGAACAACATCATCTGACTCTGTCTTCTCACTGTCACTTTCTCCAGGCTTTTTTTCAGCTTGACCTGCATTCCCTTCTTGTGGTGTTTCCTTATCAAGATCCATTGGATATGCCGTTTCTCTAGTTCATTCTTCACCTGTTTCTTTTGCAGGTGTCTTTTCTGTAACTGTTTTTGGGGTGTTTCCCTGATTCAGACCTTCTTGAACAGATTGTGCTGGTGGTTCTGTTTCAACTGTCACCACTGGAACTCCTTCTTGGTTGCTTTTCCTATTCAACCTTCTTGAGCAGATTCTGGTTCTTCTTCTTCTTCTCTTGCCGCAGGTTTTTCTGGAACTTCTTTGGTGGTTCCCTTATTTTAAGTTTCTGGAACAGATTTTGATAGGGGTGGTAATTGGTTTCCCGGGTACTGGTTTAATCGATAACCATACCGATAACCGGCGGTTATCGGTATACCGATAACCAAGATTTATCGGTATTCGGCACCGTCTCGAAGGATTTCGGTATACCGGCTCCTCTGTCGGTAAATACCGACGGTTTCCCGTTATACCAATACCGGCGTCGAGGGGTGGTGTGGAGTGATAGAAACCCTAAACAAATCGATCGATCCAACCACCCTTCTCCCTGTCTGACAGCCTCCCTTCGCTCAACTTACTTCCCAACCCTTCTCCCTTTCCAACGCCGACGCCGCCTCCACCTCTCCGCGACCTCGCCTTCCATCTCCGACCCCGACTCCCTCTCCACCATCTGTCTCCATTCGACTCAGTTCGCGACCTCGCCTTCCAAGGATGTGTCGCCGTCGATTCGTTATCGAAGAGCTGAAGCAGAGGTTCGATCTTTCCAGATATGAGCACGTGGACTGGAGAAGGACAACTCAATCTTTCCAGATCTGGTGGGAGTGGCAGGAGCGAGGGGAGGGCTACAACGAGATGGCGGCGGGATGGTTGTCGCCTCACCCATCTCCTCTTTCTTCTTGCCGCCGCGCTGATTCGGGACTCGGAAAAGGACACCAATCAGGTTGGGGAAGCTCGAGATGGCGGAGGAACTATCGTGTCGGCCGGAGATCTGGATATGGATTGAGAGAGGAAGGCGACATCAAGCGGTGGGCGGCGATTGGAGTAGGGTTGGGTAGATGAGAGGAAATCGAGAAAGAGAGGAGGTCTGAGAACGGTTGGGGACTGGGGAGAGGTGAACGAGAGAGAGAGGAGGTCTGGGGAGGGTTGGGGAGAGAGAGAGAGTCTGGTTGCGGGAATGAGAAAGAGAGGAGAGGGTGGGTCTCGCGGTTAGTCGGTATAATCGGTTTGTAACCGGTAACCGGTTAACCGGTTACAAATCGGTATCAGTAATCGTGTGCTCCCACATTGTGAACGGTATACCGGTAACCGGGTCGGTCGTTAACCGGTTAACCGGTTATCGATCGATTACCACCCCTAGATTTTGATGATACATCTACTTCAATAGCAGAATCATCTTGCTCCTTTTCTTTTGGCTTTGGTGTAGGTGCAGCAAGATCGACTGTAGTTGGTTGTGAATCATCTTCTTGTTGTGTTGCCTCCTTGTTCTCCTATTTCTTCTTTTCTAGCTTTGCCTCTTTGAATATTGTCTTCAGAGTTTTATCCAAAGCGACATCGATTTCTTCATCGTTCTCTTCTTCATCATATTCACACTCACTATCTGTTCCTACCACCTGATTGCCAGATTTTTCTCCTTCTGTGGGCTGAACATATTCATCAGAGCTTTCTTTCTAAAGATTCTCTTTGTGTTTGATCAGCTTGTCTAATTGGATATTGTACTGCTCTTTGATTGCTTTCATCACTGCCTTCATCGATGCTTCAAGCAGTTTGATTGCATTCTCGGCCTGCATAATAGGATTTTAGTTTTGTAAGATACCATGGTGGTAATGCGTGTATGGTGATTTTAGTTTTGTAAGATACCATGGTGGTAATGCGTGTATGGTGTATAGTTAGTCACCATGGTGGTAATATGTGTATGGTGTATAGTTAGTTACCATAGTGGTAATGTGTGTATGGTGTATAGTTAGTTACTATAGTGGTAATGTATTACCATGGTGGTAATACATGGTATTGGCAATTATTATCACTCTATTACATTATATTAGCGTGAAATGGACAACTGGAATACATATAATTTGTACTTACTTGGTAGACTGTTCTGATATTCTGCAAACCAAAGTTCAGTGATGATGACTGGTCTGGAGTTTTGGTTCTTTGTCTTTTCGGTGATTGATAGACTGGCTCATTCTCATGATCCTCATTAGTTGCATCATTAGCCTCATCAACAATAATGTTGTCAAGCTTTGCTATCTGGCTCAAATCTTCTCCATTGTAGTAGCTCTTAATGTTCTCAAAGTTGTTTTGGACATTGAGATCATCATAGTAGCTTACTATTGGGGTTCGAAGCTAGGTTGAGAACGTCATTTCGTCCAGTTTGTATATGAAGCATACCTTTTTTATGCAGATAATTGTATTAGTTTTTTCAAGGACTATTTGTATATAAAATATATGAGTAATAAGGTTGAAATGGCCAAGGGAATGGAGACATACCATGAGGAAGTGAAGATCTGTATTGACGTAAAGGTTTCCTGATTTCAATCCTTCATTCATGCGTTTGAAGAAGTATTTGCACCAGTTGTAGCTGGTGAAATGTTTCAGTTCATCAGTCTTCAAGTACTCGAGCATGTTGAGTTCAGAAGTAGGGGTTGAAGTTGGACACAGCAAGCCTCCGGTGACTAGCAGAAAGAATAACTGGAACCATCTCTTAGTGTTTTTAGTTGTAGGAAGATCTTATTCCTACCTGAGTTAGCTTTACCCTTTGAGTTGTTCCTGATCTGTCTACTTCCAGTAGGGTTTCTATTGCATAATCTGCTGAGTCGTCCCAAGTAATTTTGGGAGGTACAACTTCCCTATTCCCCATTGGCAAACCATATACTCTATGAAAGTCGATTGCTGATATCTCTCATGTCCCGTCAGGTAGCTTGAACGATTCTGTCATTGGATTGTATTTGTTCATTGTGAACAAAGCAAGATGTGAGTTTATCTTTGTCTGCCTGATTGATGTTAAGCCTGCTAGGCCTAATATCTCAATTTTCTCTTTATGTTCATATCTTTTAATGTCATTGTAATTGCAGATACTCTAGTTGGGTTGCACCTTGTGCGAAAACTTTTTCTTTCTTTCACCATAGTGTACCTGAATGTAGAAAACATGAATAGTCTATTAGGAAGCTTTTTACCATGATATACCATATGGTACCATAAAGGTTTCCTACCATACCAAATCAAACCATAGATTTATCACATCTTACCATATGGTAACAAAGTAAAACATGACAGGACTTATGGTTTCTTCCATTTGAAAGCATGAAACCATAGCTTATAAAATCTTACCAAATGGTAACAAAGTAAAACACAACAGGTCTTATGGTTTCTCTAATTTTTATCACATGAAACCATAGCTTATCACATCTTATCAGATGGTAACAAAGTAAAACAGAACGGGGCTTATGGTTTTCTCCATTTCTATAACATGAAACCACAGCTTATCACACCTTACCATATGGTAACAAAGTAAAACACAACATGACTTATGGTTTCCTCCATTTTTATAACATGAAACCATTGCTTATCACATCTTACCATATGGTAACAAAGTAAAATACAACATGACTTATGGTTTCTTCCACTTTTATAACATGAAACCACTGCTTATCACATCTTACCATATGGTAACAAATTAAAAAAACAACAGGATTTATGGTTTCCTCCATTTTTTATAACATGAAACCACTGCTTATCACATCTTACCATATGGTAACAAAGTAAAACACAACAGGACTTATGGTTTCGTCCATTTTTATAACATGAAATCACTGCTTATCACATCTTACCATATGGTAACAAAGTAAAACACAACAGGACTTGTGGTTTCCTCCATTTTTATAACATGAAACCACTGCTTATCACATCTTACCATATGGTAACAAATTAAAACACAACAGGACTTATGGTTTCGTCCATTTTTTATAACATGAAACCATAGTTTATCATATCTTACCATATGGTAACAAAGTAAAACACAACAGGATTTACGGTTTCTTTCCATTTTATAACATGAAACCATAGCTTATCACATCTTACCATATGGTAACAAAGTAAAACAGAACAAGACTTATGGTCTCCTCCATTTTGTTTAACATGTAACCAATGTCACATTGTACCATATGGTAACAAAGTAAAATACAACAGGACTAACAGTTTCATCCATTTTTTAGCGCATTAAAAATCTTAATACCATATGGTAACGATTTTGCACAAGTTCAGCAATGTACGGTAACGATTTGGTAATGTAGCGAGTTTACTTTAATTTTTACATGAAGAGTGAATGAAATACTGTTTCTATTGTTTTGTGGATGGATTTCGAAGAAAGAAACGAGGTTTTACCTTGATATTTTGTGTGAAAACAATTTTTGAGCCTCGTTGAAGTTGGAAACCCTTCGTTTTCAGACGAAGAAGCGAGAACAATGTATTGTTGAATGATTCTTCGAAAACCTTTGCAAAAATCCTTCGATTTTGAAGTTTCTTCTGTGTTTTCTGAAGTTTTTGCTGCGATTTTGATGAGAGAATTGAGGATCGGGAGGAAGAATGGAGAGTTAGAGAGCAGAGGGAAGTAGAACTGTCGCGTGAAAGGTGAGAGAAAGAAGGAGAGAAGGTGGGACGGGTTGATGTCGTTGTCACGTCTGCTTTTCAAATTGTCAGAGATGTGATTACTATTTTGCCCCCGTTGTAGTTACTTTGCATGATCTGATGGTTGAAAAGATGATGCGATGGACGGTGGATCAAGCGGTTACTGACAGTTACTGATGCTTTGGTTACTGAGGTGATCCGTGGGAACGGATCAGGTCAGTAACCTTATGGTGAGTAACCATGAGTAACCAGCCCACATCAGCATCCTCTCTCTCCTGGAAAGCCTTTAATTTTTCCCCTCTTTAATCTTTGACAGACGATTTCTCACTCATTTTAAGTCGAAATTTAATTTTTTTTGCACAGTTAGATTAGATTAATTGTGCTCTTCAAAATGATATCCACTTTAATATATTTTTCGAACAAAAAAACTTGAGCCATTTTTTACCAGTCTATACCATATGGTATTGACTGGTATTGAAATAAAAGCATACCTATGGTTTGAAAAACGTACCATGGTGGTATGAACAAACCAAGACTGTAGGATGGTTGAATACATGATAGTAGAAGTATATTAATTGTCATTTACGACTTTTAACATTGTATACCACACAATACCAACCCGTACCAGGGTGGTATTGTATGGTATTGTGTGATATTTTTTGGTCCTGTAATTTGTTCACCCAGAAATTTGTAGATCCAATAGATCATGATGAAGTCGTCCCTTCTGTGCAAACGTTTTCAAAAAACGAATTAAAAACGAAGAAGATACCATACAATACCACCCCGTACCAGGGTGGTATTGTATGGTATTGTGTGGTATTTTTTGGTCCTGTAATTTGTTCACCCAGAAATTTGTAGATCCAATAAATCATGATGAACTCGTCCCTTCTATGCAAACGTTTTCAAAAAACGAATTAAAAAAGAAGAAGATACCATATGGTATGCAGTTGGTACCGAGAGGCCAGAATTTTTTTTCTCAAAAAATATTGAAAATTGTTCTCATTTGGCATAGCACGATGAACTCATTCCATCTGTGCAAAAAAAATTAAAATCCGAGTTAAAACGAAAAAGATATGAGCCGATTAAGAAAGCTAGGAAACATAAAAATGGTCTTTAATTTTCCATCCTTAGATCTGGATTTTCTAAATGAAGGGTCCATATTTGGTTATTGATGGATGCATAACCCATGGTTATGCACCCTATCTTGAGCCGTGATCCGTAGTCTAAACAAGCTTTTCTTCACTTATTAGAACAACTTTTCTTTCCTCGAATAGTATAGATGTGCTCGTAGCAGGGCAACTTTCTATTACATAACAAGCTTATCTTGAGCCGTGATCCGTAGTCTAAACAAGCTTTTCTTCACTTATTAGAACAACTTTTCTTTCCTCGAATAGTATAGATGTGCTCGTAGCAGGGCAACTTTCTATTACATAATTGGCTGGTTGATATTCATGGAAGACAGCACTGTGAAATTTAGGGCTTCTATGGAACCACTTTTGAAGGTATTGTTTGTCATTCCCACTTTGTCTGTTTTAATGTATATGGATGTATTATTGTACACTGCTAATCTCGGTTCTTCTCTGTACAACTGGATTATTTTCGAAATGGTTCCTATCTTTGTTGTATCTTGTTTTCTATTCTTTGTTTGAGAATAACTTGGAAACCTAGCAAAGCTTTGGATGGAATACTAAAATCCTGCCCCAAAAGCAAATTGCTCTTATATTTGTCTTTCACTGTTGTGGCCTGAGTGGGAGAGAAGTAGCTGGGTTGAAAGTAACCAGCACAAGAGAAGCTTCAGAAGACGTCGAGTCACCGCCGGAAGTAACGAACCCGGCGGACATCTTGACGGCGAGAGGAGACTAAAAACAACGATAATTTTAGGGTTTAGGAATCAAACATGCCATGGAGCAGGAGGCTCTGATACCATGTAAGAGTTTCAACCGTGAGAGATTATTATTGATACAAGAATATATTTATACCCTTAAGATTCCAGAGTACATGTGTGATAAGGAGAATAATTACAAGAGGAAGAAGGGCTACAAATCCTAATACTACGAGGATAAAGTCTTATCCCTAATAGATGTGAGCATAGAAGATAACTTTGGGTCTTTCCCACCATTGTACATATTCCCTTTAACTAAGATGGTTACTTGCGGCTTAGGATAGGGTCAGTAACCAATGGTTACTCACCTATGAGTAACTAAATCTGGACCTTTAGATTTAAGTGGGTCCAGAAAATTCAGATCTAAGGGTTGTCAATTAAAGACATTTTATTTCCCCTAGTTTTCTTAATAGGTTCTTATCTTCTTCGTTCTAACTCGGATTTCAATTTTTTTTTTTGCACAAACGGAACGAGTTCGTTGTGCTCTACAAAATGAGATCAATTTTCAATATATTTCGAGAAACTTTTTTTTTTACCAACTACATACCATATGGTAACTTCTTCGTTTTTAAGTCGTTTTTGAAAACATTTGCTCAGAAGGAACGAGTTCATCATGATCTATTGGATCTATAAATTTATGGGTGAAAAAAATACTGAATCAAAAAGTACCATACTTTACCACTATGGTATGTGGGTGGTAACTTGTGGTAACTTGTAATAAACAATGATGGAAGTCGTAAATGACACTTAATATACTCCTACTATCATGTATTCAACCTTCTTACCATATTGGTATGTTCATGCCATCATGATACGCTTTCTTACCATATGGTATTAAATTGGAGCATATCATATGGTAATGACTGGTAAAAAATTATTCAATTTTTTGTACTAAAAATATATCAAAGTGGGTATCATTTTAAAAAGCACATTTAATCTGATTTATCTGTGCCAAAAAAAATTGAATTTCGACTTAAAATGAGAGAGAAATTGTCCGTTAAGGATTAAAGTGAAAAAGATAAAAGACTTTTCAGGAGAGAGAGGATACTGATGTCATACTGATGTAGACAGGTTACTCATGGTTACTGACCTGATCCGCTCCTGTTACTTGCAGATATTTTTTCTGATTTGAAGGCTCGGATTTTGGCATCACAGGTAACTTAACAGACGTCTGTAATGCTATTAGTATTGCTTCTTCTGGCCAGCTGATTGGTACTGATAATATTTGTCATGCATATGGTTATCTGCGGTCTTTTGTCATCTCTTAAACTTTAGTAGCTGATGATGCAAAGGGAACTTTGTGTGTGTGTGTGCGCGCGCGCGCTTCTGCGGCTCTAGAACTTGTACTCAGCTGCTTTGGAAGCCTGGTTTATATTGGATTGGGGTATTGAATGGTTTAGCTTCTAACTAGCAAAGTGAGTTTCCCATCCAGCTTGTGGCTGCTCCTGAACAAATTTCCCGACAACCTTTAATCATCATACAGTTGTGCTGAGGGTATTGATATATGAGTTCTTTTGGTAACAAAGATAATGTTGTTGGTATGTGTTTTCTTCTCCATGTTGGACGAACTTTCCATGTGGTAAGGGGATACACTTTGTCTTCTTTCTTTTTCTACTTTTGACTTGTCATCAGAATTGTCTTCTTTCCAGATGAAATATGGATTACAAAGCTCAGAATTTGGGAAAAGATAAAAAAAAAACATAAAGAAAAAGAACTAGCCAGACCACAAAACCAAAGCTGGAAAAAAAAAGCAAACAGAAGCAAAAGAAGGAAAAAAAAAAAAAAAACAAAAGCAAACAGAAGACGGCAAAATCAAAAGCACCCTACAACATGCCAACGGAGAAGGGATAAAACCGAGCCAACCGTTTCTTGAAATACCCACTTTCGAGAGAATCTAACGCATTTCCAACACTAACAAATGAATATTCGTTTCAAACATGACACGCCATCATTGGACTTGGTTTGTCTAAAAATAAACAACCACCATAAAGATATTTTTCATCTTTACCAAAGTTTGGAGCAAATTTATCAACCCTTTGTGCTTATAGGGTGTCAAGTGGGTTCGGATTGGATTAATCGGATTACGAATTAGTTGGTTTACACGTCATTTGGGTTTGGGTTTATTGGGTTACGTGCTAGTCTTGCTACGGGTTCGATTAGAATATGGGTCATTCGGGTTCAAATTTTACCGGGTTACAAGCTCAATTGGATTATGGGTCATTCGTGTTCGGGTTCATTCGGGTTACAGGTGCATTCGAGTTCGGGTTCAATCAGGTTACAGACAAGTGGTATTCAGGTTCATCGAGTTGCGAGTCAAGTTGTTTATGAGTTAATCGGGTGTAGGTAGTCAGGTTATGGTAATTGAGTAGTGGGTTGATGAGTTACAAATCAATCAGATTTTGAATTTTTTGTTATTTGTAGAATATATTGAATAAAGAAAAAAAATTCTTTTGATAACTAATGAATTAAAAAAAATTATGATAAAAGGAAGGAGGAAAAACTAAAAACTGAGAGGTACTTTAGAACACAGTTCAAGATTCTCCCACATCAAAATCAAGTTTCATATTTGAAAATACTAAAATTTTAGAACACAAAAAATTCGCAAGAACCAAAACTTCCCATTTTTCCTTTCAAAAAAGGTTGAAAACACCAAAACTCCTCCCTTCCCCCTCTATTTCTTCTTCATAAATTATAAGCATTTAAATTTCCTCTTCTAAAAAAACCCAACACACCAAAAACATTTCTTCCTTTCTCTTCTAAAAAAATGAAAAGTATCATAATTCTCTTTTTTTATTTTTCTTCCCCAAAAATTGAAAACACCAAAATTGAATTACAGGTTCAATCGAATTTCAGATCAATCAGTTTGTAGATTAATCGGGTTGGGTCAATCGAATTATGGATCAATCGAGTTACGGGTCATTAACTTTTAGTCAAATCGAATTGCAAGTTTAGTTGGTCGAGCTGAGTTAATCGGTTCCAAGTCTGTTTTAAGACCTAGTGCTTCTCTATAAACGTAGATGCTACTTTCAAGCAAGTCTCAATAACAGCCAAACCTACGTCCCATTTCTTCGTCGATCGTTAGTTGTAGATAGTTTGAGACTCGACCTTTGTTCCGACTAACTTATCCCTCCTACTACATCCTGGAATGATGAACAGTTGAGCTAGCTAGGTACATTATGACATTGGCAATGGATCGACAAGCGGATCGTCGTCCTTCCCTTCTTCGCCATTTACTTGGGCACGAAACGATCGATACAGAATACACCAAACACAGACCGAAATTAAAAAACACTACAACTAGTACTGACTGGGCCGGGGAAACATGCAATAATAAATACAATTATAGCAGAAGAACAGTGCAATAATAGAAGTGATGGGACCAAAACACACTTCCATAGTACCGACAAGTAATAACAGTACTCTAGCTACTTGTCCTTGAAGAAGTCGTGGATGTGGTTGGTGACCTCCTGGGGGCTCTCCTCGTTGAGGAAGTGACCTACGCCCTTGAGCACGACGACGTCTTCCAGGAGAGGAACGTCCTCTTTCATGGCGCCACTAAGGAGGTAGTCCTTCATCCTTGGGAAGTTCAACGTCAGGTCCAGCTCCCCGACCATGAACTTGGTCGCCACATTCACCTTCGCCCCTGTCCACGGCCCCATCAACTCCCAAGATCTGCATCAACATGATTCTCAAAAAGAATAAAGTGAGTGACAACGTACTGCCAGCCAGACAAAATCCACACGTATTTCTTGTTCAACTACGTACAGGTCGATGGATCGGTAGTAGTTCAATGCACCGGTGAAGCCGGTCTTGTCGAATTTGGCGGCGGCGTAGTCGATGTCTTCCTGGGTGAGCCAGGGCGGCAGGGCTGGAGGGTCGGGGATGGCGCTGAAACCAACGTGTTTGGGGAAGCACGGTGGCTTTGGACTCCTGGACGTCAGTATTTTGGCCAGTAGCTTCCCTGTTTCCACCTTGGCGAAGTCAGCTTCTGCTTCCCCGACTTCCTGTTCACCATCCCATCCCATCCAATTCACATTAATTTATTTATTACAGTACAAACACGATCCACCATTTATGACTCAAGTACAATAATAATAAACCAGCTAGAGCTAGGAGCATTTAGTATATCTACCTAGTACCGTCCACCAGATCCTTTTTAAATTGCCTTTATAGTTTATATATTTCCCATACCTAAATAATACTAAAAAAATTACCGGGACAAACATAAACAAAGTAACTAGCGCGTTGTGGGTATTAAACTATTAATAAAAATCCGTCGGGTATATATATATATTTTTTTATGAATAGGATTAGGACGATCTATAGATGTACGGCTTTTAAAGAAAAAACACTTGATATATTAAATTTTTATTAAAAATTTAAGAAGCACGCGATAAATGAAGTTAAATTATTTGAGAAATGAAAAATTTTACCTAATTATAACTTTATTATAGTTAAAATATGACGCGTTTAAGTAAATTTAAAGAAGTTTGAGTAAAATTATAAATAATTCAGATAAAATTAAGTTGGGAATCGATTCGGATTAAGGGCTCGTTTGCTTGTTGGATTTGAAAATGAAGATTTTGAGTTTTGAAAACCTTTGAATTTATGATGGATTTGTTGCATTTTTTTATTTGAAAGATAACATTGTTTGTTTAGTTAAATTTTTATTATGAATTTAGTCCATATGGTATTTGTGTATAAATATTTTGCTATCCATAATGTGGTATTTGCAAATACGTGGAGTCCATGGATTTGGGGCTAAAAAAATATCCATATTCGTAGGCTCTACAGATTTATATACCTTAACAAACAATAACTTTGTAAAAAAACATAATAATTGATATTTAGAGACTAAATACAACATTCAAATCTCATCAGCAAACAACTCCTAAGATGCATGAAAGGAAATACCCGTACACATCCTATTTTGTCTAAAGGACGGCTACTAGCTAATACCCCTCCAAAACAAAATCAGCTTTGATAAAACAAAAGAAACCGATCAAAAAAGAGTCTATCCTACCAATAATTCAACGAGTTGATTATAACTAGGCACCTACATCACGCAATAATATTATTATATTGGAATTTGGAATAAGAAAGGGATAGGAGGACCAAATGCGATGTATGGATAAAAAAAAGGTCACGAAAAGAGATTCCCAAAATCATAGAAAATCTCATCTTTCCGGCGTTTTCCGAGAAAAAAAAAATATGTGAAGAACAAAAAAAAAAGATTAATAAGAATACAAATTAATTTATGACCCACCTGGAACCTGCACATGTAGAAGTCGTCGCCGAACGCGGCCCGGAGCCCGGCGAGCAGCGACGCCTTGGGGTTGCGAGGCGAGAACGGGACGCTGGTGTTGACCAGCGCTTTGACCCGGTCGGGCCTGAACAGGCACAGGTGCCAGGCGATGATGGCCCCCCAGTCGTGGCCCACTAAGAAGACTTGTTGGATCTCCAGCGCGTCCAGCAGGCCCACCAGATCTCCCACGATGTGGAGCGAGCTGTACTGGGCCGCCGGAGCTGGACAGTCGGTGTCGCCGTAGCCGCGGAGGTCCGGCGCGATGCAGCGGTAGCCGAGGGAGGAGAGGGACAGCAGCTGGTGGCGCCAGGAGTACCACAGCTCCGGGAAGCCGTGGAGGAAAAGGATGGCGCGTGGGCCGGCGCCGATTGAGGCCACGTGCATGTTTATGCCGTTGGTCGGCACCGTTGTGTGCTCTATCTTCTCCATATCTGATCGGTACGGTCGCTGTCTTTTTCAGCTCCTTCTTCTCCTTGGTTTGCTGCTAAGGCTCTCTCCCCTCTCTTTGGATATATAGACAGAAATGTATGACGTCATCCGCATGGATCTTTCTCAGCGGGCAGCGGCTAGCTAGATCAGATCTGCAGGAAAAAGAAAGTAGTTGGACTTAGGGATGGCAATGGGGCGGGTTTGGGGCGAGCTTGCCTAAACCATCTCCATCCCCGCTTTCAAATATCTATACCCATACCCGCCCCATACCCATGTGGGGGAAGTTTTTGCAAACCCATCCCCATACCCATGGGTTTCGGGTACCCATGGGTAATACCCGCCCCGTACATCCAACATTATAATACGGAATATTTTACATGTAGACTTTCAATTATAACATTAACGCACCTACTATATCATGAAGTTTGCAAAGAGACAATCATTTTTAATACGATTCAAAGTATCTTATCCTAAAGCATCCATTAATCCATATCAGAGTAGAGTACAATGTCATTCAAATCATTATTCTCTACTGTGATACATCTATTAAGTAATAATTAACTAACATAATCTTGTTAACAAGGGGAAAAAGTGAAAGAGTGAAGGGAAAATTGAGACAAATAAATTAGATTTTGATTTGGGTGGTCACTTAATTGCATTTCTACTATATATTTTTATTGAGTTATACTCACTATTATTGATAGGTTACAAATCGATTCACATATTTTTCATATGTGAAGAAATATTTTTGATGGGGCGGGTATGGGTATGGGGCGGGGGAGGCTAAAATCATACCCGCCCCATACCCATCAAACTTTTTGCGGGTTTTACCCATACCCGCCCCATACCCGGTCAATGCGGGGATTCCCCGCGTTGACTGGGTCGGGGGCGGTCGGATACCCGTGGGCATGGGTTTGATTGCCATCCCTAGTTGGACTTGGGCTAGTTAGCCTAAAACAAACAAATGGAAAAGCCCATGCTCTACCTGGGCTTTCTTCCTAACTGTGTAACGAAATTAGACTTTTTTTTTTGGTAGAAAATGGGACGCTAAAAGGGCGTCCCTGCCTGGCACTTATATTAAACGGGTTTGGGCAATGCCCATAGAATCATACATGAACCAGAAATTAAAACCAGAATCGTGTAAATCAAGAGAGTGAAGGCCTAAAGTAGCAGAATGACCTTTGTTGGCTAGATAATCAGCCAACTTATTACTTTCTCTATAGGAATGAGAGATAACAACCTCCCAATTGCGGTTGAGGAGCTCCTTAAGCTGCCCGATGAGGATGTGGTATCTATTGCTTCTGTGCTCCATCCTATTGATCAGGGTAATCGCAGTTATGGAATCCATTCTCAGCTGAATCTTCCGAAAACCCAGCCGCCAAGCTAGTTGCAAACCTTGAAGGGCTCCTTTGAGTTCAGCCCTTGTGATTGTGCACGCCCCAAGGTTCGCATAAAACCCGCCCAGACATCTGCCGAGGTGGTCACGGATGATACCGTCCGACGCAGCTTGAGAGTGCGGATGCTTGACCGACCCATCTGTGTTGACCGCTACCCAGTGCTGAGGCGGAGGGATCCAGGAAAGATCCTCAGCCTGCTTGTTCCGTTGTATTGAATGTATCAAATTGTCTTTAGCCTGCACCTCTTCAATCGTACGCGTCCAGCTGCGTATTCTGCAGACGAGGGTTGCATTGTCGAGATGTTTCTGCTGAAAGATCATATCATTGCACCGTTTCCAGATGTACCAGGCTGCTACTCCGAATAAGAGTCCAGTGTTGGGGTGGCTGAGGCGCTTGCTCATCCATTCTGCAAAGTTCAAGCCCACAGTAAGGTTGTTATCTCTTATATTCAAAAGATCCCAAACCTGTTTTGAGGATGCACAATGACGGATGACGTGTTCAGTCGACTCTGGCGCAGCCTTGAAAATCTTGCAGGTATCCGAGGCGGATATCTTCCTTCGCTTCCTTTCACAATTGGTCATTCGTCTGCCATGGAGAGAGAGCCAAAGGAAAAGGCGGATTCGGTTCGGCCCGTTCCAACGCCAAACATGCTTCCAGGGGACATCAACGTTCTCATTGTCTTCACAGTCCGCGTGAAACCAATCTGCAGCAGCCAAATAGGCAGTTTTCAGCCTAAATTTGCCATCTGACTCAGGACTCCAGCTCATGGTATCTTCTCCCGCGTCAGGATCAGGGGGGTCTGTACCTGCAATCAAGGAGACACACTCAGCTGGTAGGAACTGTTCAATCTCATCCCAGTTCCACTCACCAGTATCCAAAGTCAAGTCAGCTACTGAGGCATCCCGGTTGATCCTGTTATCAAGGTCATTGGCATAATCCAGCAGGATTACACCTTCAGCTAACCAGGGGTCAGACCAGAACTTGACACCCTGACCATTGCGAATATCCCAAATAGAGCCTTGTTTGACGAGTGGAAGAGCTTGCATGATCCCTCTCCAAAGACTTGAAGTCCGGTCACGTCTGAAGGAGACACTTCCATCATCATTCTGTCTCACGTACTTATCCTGCAAAATCTTAACCCACAGCACATCATCATTATTCACAAAACTCCAACCAAGTTTCATGAGATAGGCAAGATTCAAGGCTCTGGCAGATCTCAGACCGAGACCCCCTTCCTCCTTTGGACGACAAATCTTATCCCACGAGACCAGGTGAGTTTTGTTGTGCCCCTCTTCTGCACCCCAGACAAAGGCCCTTATCTTTTTGTCGATTGTATCACATATAAAGTAAGGCAGGACAGCAGTCTGCATCACATAGTTGGGAAGGGAGTTCAACACAGACACCGCGAGAGTCACACGGCCAGCTAGAGAGAGGCTACGGGATTTCCATCCTGCTAAGCGTTGGTCGATTTTCTCCAAGATGTACTTGTACGTGTCTCGAGTAATTCTGCCATGCACAATGGGAACACCAAGGTACTTTCCAAGATTATCCGTTTCTTTGATGCCAAGGATCTCGCTGATTCTGGATTTGGTGCGGGTGGAGGTATTCTTGGAGTACAGGATGCAAGACTTGTCCTTGTTTATCTCTTCGCCTGAGGCCTCACAGAACTTGGTGAGGATGTCTAAAATGACTCGTCCTTGCTTCACATCGGAATTCCCAAATAACACAAGGTCATCTGCAAAAAACAAGTGAGTGAGAGGCGGTCCATTCTGCGAAAGATAAATAGGCTTCCACATATTATTTTCAACAGAATCTTTGATACAATGATTCAAACGCTCAATACACAAAGTAAAGAGGTAGGGTGAGAGAGGACATCCCTGACGAAGACCGCGGGTAGGTTGGAAAGCATCCGTACAACTGCCATTCCAAAGAATTTGGAGACTGGTCGTAGTGACGCAAGCCATAACCAATCTGATGAAATCATCTGGAAGACCTGTTGCCGTCAAGGTAGATTGAAGAAACCTCCAGTTGATCTTGTCATAGGCCTTGGCGAGGTCGATTTTAAGAACCATGTTCCCTTGTTTACCTTTCATCCCCTTGAGAGAGTGAGCCACCTCTTGCAGGATGATGATGTTATCCGTTATGTGTCTGTTGGGAACAAAGCTAGTATGCTCTTCATCAATGAGGTTTGGCATGAAAAGCTTGAGCCGGTCAGCAAGGCACTTGGCAATCACTTTGTAGCTCACATTACAAAGTCCTATAGGTCGGAAATGGGACATGGCTGTCGGATTGTCGACTTTAGGAAGCAAAGCAAGCAAAGTGGCGTTGCATTTTGCAATCAGCTCAGGGTTCTGGAAGCATTGAGCAAGGTAAGCATAGAAGTCCTCCCCGATGATCTTCCAGCATTTCTGATAAAACAGGGCATGGTAGCCATCCTTCCCGGGAGCTTTGAGGCTGCCCATATTTTTTATTATACTGACAACTTCAAGCTCAGAGGGAGTAGTGCAAAGGCTCCTAATCTGCAAGCTATCAAGAGTAGGGAAGCCAGCCGTGATCTCAGGTCTGACCGAGGCAGAATCCGCAAAGAGATGGATGTAATAGTCCCTGGCCATACACTCTAGATCAGTGGGATCCTCAACCCAAACACCATTGTTGTCTTGAAGCTTGAGAATTCTATTACGTCTTCTCCGGGCAAGAGCAATGTTGTGAAAATATTTTGTATTTTTGTCACCTTCTAGAATTGAATGAGCTCGCGCCTTCTGGATCCACAGGAGCTCCTCCTGCCAAAGGGTCTCTTCAAGTTCTTCACGGACTCGGGCTTCTTGGTCTAATGAAGCAGGGTGAGGGTTGTGATCATTCTGACTTTCCAATCTCTCAAGGTGCTTGGTGAGATTTTTCTTTCTCCAGAAGATGTTGTCGAAGATCTCCTTGTTCTAGGTGAGGAGAGCTATTTGGAGGTCCTGCAGAGAGGTCAGGAAATCTTCCCCCATCTTCCAAGAACTAGCAACCGTGGGTTGGAAGTCTTGGTGTGCCAACCAAGGAGCAAGGAATCTGAAGGGCCTCTTGCTACGGTGGCTCGCTTGATCCGGGAGATTGCAGATAAGTAACGGCCTGTGATCCGAACGAAGACGCGGCAGATGAGAATTGGAGGTGTCTGGATACATTTGAAGCCATTCCTCATTGCAAAGAGCGTGATCAAGGCGGCAAGAGAGGCTGCCTTTAAACCACGTGAACTTTGGCCCAACAAAACCAACATCCAGAAGACCGCAATCATCGATACACCTGTTGAAGTTAGCTGCCCGGTGAGGGTTGAAAGCAGCCCCGCCCTGACGATCCGAGGGGAATCAGATGGAGTTGAAGTCTCCTGCAAGAAGCCAAGGTTCTGAAATGGTTCGCTCCAAATTACGGATAGTTTTCCACAGCGGCATTCTATCATGATCATTAGGCTTTGCGTAGACAGCAGTCAGCAAGCCCGAATTTTTGTCCTGCAAATCAGCACAACGGCAGTGTAAGTGTTGGGCACTACTGTCAACAACAGAAATGGTGAAACTGGTATCATTCCAGAGGACCCAAATTCCACCCGAAAACCCAATAGCGTCAACTTTGACAAATTGATTGAAACCCATAGACTGTATAACGTCAATCGCATCTTGACCACTGATTCGTGGTTCAACGATAAAGACGATGTTTGGTCTATACAAACGACAATGATCTTTAAAAACAGCAAGAAATTTGGGGTTTTTTTGCCCCCCGGCAGTTCCAAGAAAAGAGACGGATCA